TCGCTCAGAGAAGGAAGAATCTGAAGGAACTGTGAAAAGTTGTGTTCAACATTTATCTAGTCTCATTCAGCAATATTTATCACATGTGTTTATCAAACGTGCTCAAAGTAGTCTCTTTGAAAAACTTAAAGAAAGTACGGATGATAAAAAAGTTCTTCTTCAAGTTGACTATGCTGAAAATTTTGCAATGGATCAGCAAGACGCTATTCAGTCAGCGTATTGGAATACCAGAATGTTGTCCATTTTTACAGCGCACGCATGGTGCGGAGCAAATAATTATTCGTTCGCATTGGTATCTGACAACGTTACTCACGATAAATATTGTGTGACTGTGTGTCTGAATACCATTATTACTAAACTGAAACAATATTTACCAGATTTGGAAGAGATTGTGTTCTTTAGCGACGGAGCAGCATCACAATTTAAGCAGCGATATCTGCTTCAAAACATGACACGAATGATGGCGGAACATACTTTGACGTTATCGTGGAATTTTTTTGCCACTTCCCATGGGAAGGGAGTGGTTGATGCGATTGGCGGAATGGTTAAACGAATGGTTTGGCAAGAAATAATGACAAAGAAACAGTGTCGATCAGCTACCGATTTCGTTCGCATCGCCAAAACAAAAACAAACACGATTATTCTCGACGAAATCTCACAAACGGAAATAGATGTAGCAAAATTAAGACTTGAACAGCTATTTATGGCGACAAAATCGGTCAAAGATACTCAAAAATTGCACAGTGTCATTGCTATTCGTTCTGATGTTATAGAATGTCGAATCTATGGTGATTCAACATCAAAATGGACTGTTTTTTTCTGATTTTTATTTATTAAAAGCAAAAAAATGTACCGTTTTTTGCCCGACAAGAATATGTATAAGCATTTGTGAAAAATAAAAAAAACAGCACTAGATGCTTGAAATAGAAAAGGAATATTAATAATTTGATGTTTTAAAGTTATATCTCTCAATATGAAATGAAATTTTTGATTTGGAGAATTTTTATGAAAATTCATGTCGGTGCGTTACCGAAATGTCTGTGCGTTACTTCATGTTTTGTCAATAGCTCGCTCATTTTTCAAATTAATTATATTTTCTCTTCACTAAAAGATACTTCTGACTTTGAGCTACAAAATGCTCTGTCACAATATTCATTAACATAGCGTAGTTCGCAGCATTTATCACTTCTCTCGCGTCTACTAAGAACGAAGGACTTTTTTGTCTGTGTGTTACCGACTAGTATTTCACCTATAAAATCTAAACAGCTCAACGATTGAGGCTCAAACTTTCAGGTATTATAGAACTTGTCGACTTACATAAGTGTTGAAATTTACAAGCTTTTTCCCTTTACCGTTATCTAGATACAATCGTTCAAAGTTGAAAAAACGTCCGTGCGTTACCTGCGTTTCGGCTGAATAATAAAAGTTTGATAAAGATCAAATATATTCCTCGCTTACCATGCAAGATGATAAACGAAATCAATGTGTTGTATCAAGATGAGAAAACTTTCTAGTTTAAATTCAAGTAGATGAGTCAGAGAGCGACTCTTTACAGTACAGATTTTCATGGAAACAGTGTGTTTTGACTTTGTTGAAAATTATGTGTTAATCTCGCTCATAATACCGTTTCGCTTTTCTTTTCATAAGTTTCCTTTGAGTGAAAATGTTCGAGAAAGTAAGACGAGGCTTGTATACTCCACTCACGATTTATTATACTAAAAAAGCTAACGCTAAAAAGTCAAGTTGATGGATGTTAAAGACTCCAGAAAATACTTGAGATTATAGATGCGACAAAATTCTGAAAAAGCTAAGATTCAGAATGCACTATCTCTACGAAAAAGAGCTGAGCGAGTCCACAGGCAAGTGTTACTTGTAATCATATAAATATTTCACTTTTCAAGTGAACTTCCTATTATGTGGTTGAAAAATGACCGGTGTCATTTAGAACATTTGACAATATCATTATTTCTACTTCAATATTGATAATGTTTTGCAAAAAAATACAACATAATAATTTATTTTATGTGAGAATTTTATTGATTTCTAAAGCAAAATATCTATGTTGTTAAGACCACTGAACTATAACGTTTCCGATGAGAATACATCCTATTCCGCAATGTTGAACATTCCGGAACCAGTACCGCTCACGGAACCAATTCCATCTAATTCCCGAAATTCCATTTATCACTTCCAACAGAATTCCGGAATTCCCGGAATCACTGCCGATCAATTCCATCTAATTCCCGGAATTCCGTTTATCNTCAATTCCGGAATTACACGGAATTCAAACGGATTCCGCCTAATTCCCAACGGTTCCGGAATTCAGCGCACTTACACCAACATCCACACCCACACTTATCGCAACACCCACACTAACACCCACACAGACACCCACACTTATGGCAATACCCACACCATGCAATTCCGGTACGGAATTCCGGGAATTAGGTCGAACAGGAATTGAACAGAATCACACGGAATTCCTAGGAATTCCGTCTAATTCTCACCGATTCCGTATTGAGCTAATTCCGGAATTGGGCTGAATTCCGTGGAATTCCAGGAATCGGACGAACTAATTCCGCAATCGAACGAAGCAGTGCCGGAATCGGACGAAGCAGTTCCGGAATCGGACGAACTAATTCCGGAATCGAACGAAGCAGTGCCGGAAACGGGCGAAGCAGTTCCGGAATCGGAGGAACTAATTCCGGAATCGGATGAACCAGTTCCGGAATCGGATGAACCAATTCCGGAATCGGACAGTATTCATATTTGACCTAATTCCGGAATCGACGGAACTGATTCCGGGGGCGGAACTGGTTCCGGAATGTTCAACATTGCGGAATTGAATGACTGCTCTGTTTTTCATAATTTCAACAATGAAAAAACTTCTTGTGTGTTTCTTTTATGTAAAAAAAGATTCACAAATCCATTAAAATTTTATTATCACTCCACTTACATCAAAAACTTATATTCACTGATCTTTACTTCAGGAATTTTCTCTGTCCAATTTACCTCGTGTCCATGCGACAAAAATTTTATAGTATAAACTACTAACCTTATCTGTGCTGGACGATAGATTTTTCACACATCTGTGATCAAAACACAGCCTGTATTAACTAATCTAAAGCTTTTTCTTTTTCGTTTTTCGTCGACTTCTATATGAGATGAGCCCTACATTGGAGTCACTTCATATAGCCGATACATTATTCTGCTGCTGAAACGTTGTCATCGTTATTAGGTGACGAAGCTTTAGGGTGCGGGTGTTGACGTTCTGAACACCCACACCCACACCCTTGTTCTTGATACCTTGCCACGATCGAAACTTTGGAAGCAGTTGATGTGCTACTGTTGTTGTTGTTGGAAAGAATGTTTTTGAACGCATAAGGTTTAGTTAATCTTTTTTTCAAAATGTCTTATCTCTTACCCTTTTTTTTGCAAAGCGACATAACTCAATCCATTTCTATTTGTTTTACCACTTCTTTTCTTTTTTCAAGCATGTACACTTTGAAGAAGTATCCCGTACATAACAACAATACACATTTAAAGGAACAAGAAAAGGAAATCATTCTTCTTGGACGAAATTATTCAATTCTGAATAAACAATTTGGTACTGAATGTTTGCTCGAATGAAGACAATAGAAATTTTTAACAATGAATAGCAACAAGCAATAGGGTAGAATAATCTATTGAATCTCTAATTTATTTAAACTTATTTGTGCGTTAGAATTCTCATTCGCAAAATAGATTTAAAATTCAATAGAAAGTTGATTTATTCTTCATATAATTCTTATATACTATATGAGAACAGGTAGTATTTTCA